TATAACCGTATAACACTCAATTAGACAAGACGAAAATCTCGGGTTCGTTAAACAAAATAAAAAAAAAAACATAAATTCAGGTCGTATAAAAATTTACAGATTATTAATACAATTTTCGTAGAGATCTCAAGTAATAATTTGAAGCTGCTGCAATAAAATTTATAAATTTGGGAGTACCGGTACGAAATTATTGACTGTAATTATAAAGAAGATGGGCCTGCGTAGCGCAAGCGGTAGTGTGCTTGCCTCGCATGCCGGTGGTCGTGAGTTCGAATCCTACCGCCGGCAAGAACAACTAGGCATTTTTAAAATGTCTATAGGCCCCAGGTCGACTCAGCCTGAATAAAATGAGTACCTTGGGTAAAACCAGGGGTAATAATAGGCGGTTGAAGCGTAGCACTGGCCATGTTACCTTCCTTGTATACCGTAGGCCCTAGATATAGCAGACTACCCTGCTATACTCCCAAAGCCGCGTGCGGTATAAAACGGGAGACTATTATTATTAATTATAAAGAAGATTATGATATTGTAAAAACAAAATTTAGAATTGTAGAGTAAAATAATCCATTTTATATTATCCACCTTAGAGTAAACAAAATTTGTGAAAAATTCTGTGAAATAAATAAAATCCGTTTTGTTTGACTTTTAAAAATATTCATTGTTCCTAAATAATTTTTCAAAGTTATATATTTATCAAAGCTAAACCAAAAATTAATTCAATAGTACTAAGTGATCTTAAAAATCTTAATTTTAGAAGAATAAATTAAAATATCATCCCAAATTTATCTCAGTACTTACTGTATATGGTTAGTTCTTCAATATTGATAAGTTGTTTTAAAAAAAGACAAACAGTTTGAAAGTATTCTTACTCCGATGAGGAATAACTGCAACTGTCACTCTAATTATTAGCACCAACTTCTATAGTCAGTGGTTTTACTATGACCTCCATAATATTATCGAGTTCCCAGAACTTATTTCTACTGTATTTTTAACATGCTTCACACAGTTTTTTCATTTTTGCGGGGTGATGTTGTTTAGGGCTTTATCGAAGAGGTTTTTTACAACTGCGAATCTAAAAGATTTGTTGTTGGCAACAACAAAATTTTTAGCAATAACCCATATTAACTTAATTGGATTAAGCTCACAATGAAATTTCGTCTTCACAAAATGATATCGCCTCGATCTAACAAAGCACTATTTCTGCCGCTTGTACTTAATTTTATAAAATGTAGTGCTGTTAAAATTCGGCAAGCTTTTGTCCTCGTTAGCAGCTAAAATAACTTTCTGTATAGTGGCTATTTCGTTATAAGAAATATTTGTCGCATGGCAGATTTATCGGTATCATCAATTTTGTCAAATATAGTTTTCCTGGGTTTGGACGTTTTCGGAGAAGAAAATGTTCCGGTATTCTTCTGATTTCTAACAATTCTGTATACAGAAGCTTCACCTACTCCACAAGAAAAAGCTGTCTATTTCACTACTTCTGATACTAAAGCTTCCGGAGCGATTCTATTGTCGATGTATAAACATTATAAATAACACTTTTTTCCATACTACTAAAATAATGTAGTTTTGATTGATTTTTTGGAGTAACTTCTTTCTCAGAATCTGTAGAATTGGACATTTTAAATTACAAATTAGACCGCACAAACTTGAAAAGTATTAATAAAACTAAAAAACTACTACATACACTTTAAATCAGCAAACAAATAATTATATACACAAATAGTTCATGTATTAGAACGAAATACCTTCTTACTGCAAAAGAAAATGTTAAGAAAAAGTTACACGCGGCTACTCAACTGAAACTGAATAAAACAAGTCCAATCCTGAGGCAATAGATCACGCCTTTTTGTTTACATACACTATCGCTGCTCAATAAATATTTTATAGAACGTTTAATGCTAAATAAACTTTGTAGTTTTACATGTATAAAATTCTTGCTGGCATATGGCGATTATAGGACATTAATATTAAAAGCTTTAGTCCTGTTAACCTCTAGGATAATTGTTTTTTGCCGGAACTCACAACTTCACAACTCACACAAAAAATCACAATTTTAATATTTGACCTGATATCCTTGGATTTCTATTGTTTCATTTTTATTTCGTATTTAAAAAAAGAAGTACAGCCCTGTAAATTGCGTCACAACCTTAGCTCAGATTGGAAGTACATCCCATTGTAATGAGACAATACAATTGACGTGAGTCATGTATCATATAAGAATATGGTAATTAGGTTGATATACTACCAATCCTTTGCTAGTGTGACTAACTATGTGCGAATAAGATTAAAAATGTTGCTTATAAAGAAAAAAATAATTATTAATGTTGCTTAACTTGGATAAAGTATCTGCAGAATAGTGGGACTCGTTGCCTTATTTGTAATTAATTATTTAATTCACCTAGATTTCTGTATGCTTTCAGTAAACATGGGCGGAATGAAGAAATTTTATTTAACTGTAAAACATGTTTTTTCTAAGACATATTTTCACCGGCAGACGTATTTTTTAGAAGCAGAAGTGATTACTTAAAAAGTGAAAGTATAAAAAGATTTCCCATTTATAAGGAAAATGGTTTTTGTCCTTAATAGTTGTTCCATACAAACGTAGGTAGTAGGTATATATCATAGACCATAGATGGAAATTATTAATTTCCTTCACAGATATGTCTCTTTAGCTGCCTTTACTATGATTTTTTTGCCCTTACTTTCTGACTCCTGTCAGGGACTATACAGCGATTTTTAGTTTATAGGATATATAGGATATATTTAGGATAATTTTTAATTCGACGATGAACTACCAGATCTATCTTACCTTAGTCTATTTGATCTTAACTTCGATCGGTGCTACATCAAAGCATTCTGATTTCTAAAATATATAATTGGTGTTCTGATCTGTTTTTATACGTTATAATATATATATATATATATATATATATATATATATATATATATATATATATATATATATATATATATATATATATATGTTATGTCATAATATGTTCTCTTTTAGTTCTAGAATATTTTAGCACCTTTTATTTCGAGAGCCGAATTGGTTATTCCAGTTTTAGCTTTATTATTTTTCTTATTATTCTTCTCTTAGCCCTCTATTAGCGTCCATTTTTAGACAGAGGCCCCTCTCAACTCCTTCCATCGATTTCTATCAAAATACTTCCAATTTGTTCCGGCTATTCTTTTTATATCGTCTACCCATAAATTTATTTTCAGTGCTTCCTAATTATCACGTCAACAGTGAACAGGGTTTCCCAAATTGGTATGTTTTGCACGGTACATTAAAAACTAGAGGCGGCAGAAAAAAGTACCAAGGATGTCATAAGTTCTTTCTTCGTTAAAATAACGATTTGCTAATCAAATCATTAATTCCAGAGTAGTCTAAGCCTGTTAAGTGTAATATTAATTCTTGTCATAGTATTAATATTACTTTCAGGGTTTAATTGTATCTACTCACCGCAGAAATCTTTCGGAACATATATATATATATATATATATATATATATATATATATATATATATATATATATTTATATATATATATATATTTATATATATATATATATATATATATATATATATATATATATATATGAAACTTAGAGCTAAGATTAATATTATTACTAAAATTAATATCAAACTCACCAGTCTTCCGGGTGTATAGTATATATTAACCTTAGCTCTACGTTTCATTGTACTAACCGCGGAAATCTTTCCTAAATCACATAGATATGTGATCTGCACATTTCAAAATTTTATGAAACTAAGCATTGAGCAACTCAAACTACTATAGGAAGTCAAATGATGAAATTTAAAATTATATAAAATATTTTTAAGTAGATTGAATAATCCAGATCTCACACTCAAACCTGTCTATAATAATTAGTGTGTTAGTTTCAGAGCAACTGAAGTCGACGTAAAGTATGAATGCAAGAAATAGACTAAACAATATATTAGACAGTGGGTAGTTGACTACAATAAAATGGTCTACCCCAAGCACTATCAGTACTGTAGAAAAGAAGAAATCTGACTATGTAATTAAAATACTAAAAATTAAAAATCAAAATTGAATGTCAATGGGAGAACTATAAAATTAATATGTTAAAGCGTTACTTAAGACCAACTGACCAACAGTGGGAGAAGTTGAAATATGCAACTAAAGAGATGTTAAAACGTTAATCACATAAAAAATTTTATTAACCATCAACTTCGAGTTTTATCGAAGTTAATTAATTTCTTCAGTTAAAAAAAAAACGTTTATTGGCTTATTTCAGATGCCCCTGAAGATGCTCTAGGGAGCGAAAGTACTTGGGCAAGATTAAATTAATTAAACTGTGCTCGATATTTGCCTTTTATTTGATCAAAGTAAAACATCAATACTTCTGAATTTTGGTACAAAATACTTTTAATTAAAGTTAATAGTTAACGAAATATTAAAGAAAATAAATAAGTTAGTAGAATAATTAATAATAGGATTTTACATAAAACATTATACGTTTTATATTAAATTAAGGCATAATCAAATATTTATTAAACTAAATAACATTAAACTTTATGTCAAACATTTTCTTCAATGCACTTATCAATACGTTCCATAAATGATTGTCTCATTTTCAATAGCATCGTTTGTTCAAAAGAAACTGCTGCAGTATTAATTTCTTTCTATAGTTGGTTGTGCATGTTATGGAATTCTTATAGACACGCTGTTTCATTGTGTTCTATACACTAAAATCAAAAGGACTAAATTCTGGGCTACGTGGTTGCCAAGGTAAATTACTACCATGACCAATGCGATGTTCAGGAAACTTGGTATTTAAGTATATTCTCACATGACATGGCCATAAAAAATGATTACCAATGATTCCACACCATACGTTTATTTTAAATTCATGTTGTAAATGACTTTTTCTCTTAACATGGGGATATTCAGTATCCCAAAAATAATCGTTCCTTAAATTAAAAACACTATGGTGTGTAAATGTAACTTTATCCGTAAATAATATTCTATCGGTGAAAGAGTTTTCAAGATTTTGCATGTTTTGGATGTCATTTGCAAATTTGTATATTAAAGGTAAATCTGCTGGTAATAGATTTTGCACACGTATAAAAGGGTCAAAATGCTCAAGGTATAGGACAAGGAACAGTTTGCATCGTGAATTCACAGTGAACGGTTGTTTTCTTGTTTTTAGGTACCCGTTCGTTCCTATAGCATAGGATCGGTTAACAGCCATAGGCAACGTTAACAAGCTGATCGCTTGGACGAACGTTACGCCGAGAGATAAGAAGACAATAGGCAGGCGATAAGAAGCGACAACAATAGAACAATAGAACCATTGTTCATTGTTCTACCCCCATTGTTCGACGTAACGGTTTTTCTAAAACCGTTAGCGTTCATAGGGCTGTTATTGTGTTGGTTGGGTGCTCCCGTCTGCTGTTTCGGAGATTCTGCTGGTCACGGTGAAGGCTAGGTGGATGGTATTGTAAGAAGCCATCCGCGGCCGTAGCCGGGGCTTTCAGCCTCCGTTAGGGCGATAGGACGACCAGGTCCAGCATCGTAGCGGTTCTCTGAAAATTTTTAGGTACATTAAGAAAATAAAGGAAAATAAAAATCAGTCGTGATCCAAAAAGTGCTGCATATTTTCATCTGGGGCAGTTCATCTTTACACGCTATTAGCTAATTGGTAACTGGTGAAAGCATAGTAGGTGGTTGCGGTAAGAGAGGCCACCTGCGTACGCTGTAGCCGGTTCTCCCTGGTTACTAATTTGGTGTTGACTAGCTGGCCTAGGGTTAATTGTGGTACTTGAGTCACGAACTGACTCCATTGGATTTCTATATAGTTACTAATTGTAATTAGTAACTCGAGGAAAATTTGATTGGAAGTTTCATTAGTATACATATAAATTTCATTAGTACATAAGGAAGTGCACCGAGAGACCGACAGCTCATTTCATAGTAAGCATAGTCCGGCGACCCGCCATCCTATACATTGCACAGCGTATAGGAAAAAGGGTGTCTTCTGGGTGTACGCCTAGGTAAACCACTGTTGTAATGCCGCGCTCGACCCGCTCTAATAGGTCAAAGCCGCGTCCTGCTGAACCTCCTGACCCTTCTCCCGTACATAATCAATCAATGACATCTGAAAACAGCAACGACGTAGCACCTGTACATTCACCTGACTTTCCACCATTACCATAACTCTCATATCAAAAACCAATATCACCGCTTCCTATTTCACCAATAAATCAATATATACTACCGACTCCTACTACCTACACTATCCCTACAATACATATACCCGACACCAACAACACCACTCCTAAGATGAACGTCGCCACCGACAGTTTCGTCGAGGATTTGGTTACTACCCTCCCCATCGACCAAATCGACCGGTTGATCGCGCGTTTGCAGCTGTCCCGGTCCTCCCTTATCGCCAATCCTTCATCAACACCAACAAACACCTTAGCATACCAACATCAGCAAACATCTACCACACATACTACCAATATCCAACCTACACCACAACTCACACCGCAAATTAGTACACATGTAAACACTTCCATCCCTCAACAAATCCCTTCCTACGCTACCGCAGCTCACGCTCCTAAACCACAGCATCCACAAACAACTTCCCAACAACCAAAACACTTCTACTACCTTATTACAAATATCCCTCTGGAAAAATCCACTCAACGTGATTTTTTCAGAATCCTCAATACCAGAGAACTTCTTTTGAACCAAATCACCACTATTAAAGTCCTACCCACCGGAACCGCACACCTCACCACACCTCACCCAATAAATCACGTTGAAGTCCAACGCCGACTCCGTGATGCTGTAGGGGATCCTAAAATCCAGATCTCCCCTAAGCACAATCCAAATCCTTCAACCACTAAAAATACCACTACCCGTACCCACAATCCCGGTTATATGGTGGTCGTCAAGGGAGTTGACAGAATCTACTCCGACGCCGAACTAACCATCCTGTTCACACAACTAAACATCCCTGTCATACGTCTCTAGCGCATCATCTCCAGAGAGAACAAACCTACCACTTATGTCAAATTGATCACCTCAAGTGAATCAAAATACACGGAGATGCTGACCAGGGGCGTGTACTTTGACGGCCTCCGTATGACTGCGGAACTACCTTTCAACTCCAACCCCGTTCCTCCCGTACCCAAGTACTGCGTAAAGTGCAGTTCAAACGGGCATACCATTGCGGAGTGCCCGCAAAAACAGTATAGGTGCCCTACTTGTGGTCAAGACCACAAATCCACTTCCTGCCCTACCCCACAAGCACCTAAATGCCCTAACTGTGGTGGCGAGCATGCGGCCTATTCGGTCAAATGCCCACTCAGAAGGGAAATACCAAAAACCCCACAAGAAACCCAACCTATACCCACCGATAAAAGAGATCCACCATACGAACTGTCTTCAGACATGAAGGCAGTGATGGAATTCACCTCCCTCATCCTCATTAACCTCCTTCCAGATAGGCGTCAGCTTATCCTGGATATAACCAACCGTATCTCCACTCTGATGTTCGGTCACAAGAGTACACTTGTGGCTCATAACAACAGAGCTTCCATCTCCTTCCTGCCCCTCTAATGGACAGTTCAATAGGTTCTGTTAACTGCCAGGGTGTTCGAAATAGGCGACCCCTTATCAAACATATTCTTCAACATCATAATATCCAAATCCTAGCCCTCACCGGCACCCTTTCAAAAACAGATCCAACATTCCCCGGTTACTGCACGGTACACCGTCCTAAAAGCCAAATATCTCGCGGTATTGGCTTCCTTATCAAATACGGTATCCCCTTTTCCCCTCATGTTACACCTATGCACCTGAACCTTAATGATGTTGACTTCCTGGCAGTGGACATCCACCTTGACAATAACACGACAATTACAATAGTCTCTTATTACAAACATCCTCATCAGGACATGTCCGAAATTTTGTTTGATTATATATCTAGCCTCAATAAGGCAATTATTCTCGGCGACTTTAACGCCAGACACATTCAATTTGGTGACACTGTCACAAACCATGCAGGCAATGACTTTTCGGACATGCTCATTAATCTTCCTATCCACCGCATCCGTAATCGTGATCCGACTTTTGTGGGTCACCAGGGCTCGTCGATAGTCGATCATATTGTATGCACGTACGATGTGATTGATCTATTAGATGACGAATGCTTTCTGGGCGATTCCATCACGTCGGATCACTTACCACTGCTGGTTAAGGAACAGATATTTACACCCACCCCTCCTGCACCACCCAAAGTAATAAGAGACTATAAGCACGCTAACTGGGACCGCTACAGAGCCTTTTTGTCAACTAACATTCCAGAGTTAGGCAACTTAGTACACACAGATGATATCGATCAAGGTATCACGGCTATCTCAAATCTGATAAATCAAGCAATTGATATATCAGTCACTAATAAGGTTATAAACCCTAAAAAGCCACCTCTACCACAATATATAATCAATAATATCAAACATAAGAGACGACTTCTACGTCAGTTTCAACGTACTCGAAATCCTCTCATCAAAACAGAATATAACCGCCTGTCCGCGGTGATCAAACTACAGGTGAAAGATCTGCAGGTCAGACAATGACGGGCAGCCACCTCTAGTCTTGATTTCCGCGACGGTGGTAAGTTCTGGCATAAATTCAAGTGCCTAACTAAACAAAAAACCAACAATCCATCTCACTTGCTAGTGAACAATCAAATCATAAACACACATCAACAAAAGGCCGAAGCCTTTAAAATCCACTTACAAAACATTTTAATCACACCTAATAATCCTAGATTTGACCCAGCCTTCCTGATTGCGACTGAAAGAGACGTAAACAGACAACTCGGTGCCCCTTTCGATCCTCAGGTGCCGCATGATCATCCCATCATGGCACCGGTGGATCAACAAACTTTCAAAAATTTTTGTCAAATTGGCAAATCGAATGCACCGGGTCCTGACAATATTGCCAGGAGCTGCGTGAAACAATTCCCTCCGAGTGTCTACCTTTTTTTAACAAATATTGTCAATGCCACTCTCAAACTCTGCTATTTTCCGTCACAATGGAAAGTAGCAAATACAATTATGCTCTTAAAAAAGGGCAAACCCCGCACTGATCCTAACTCTTACCGGCCGATTTCACTCACAAATGTTTTAGCAAAAGTCTTTGAGAGAATCCTAAAAGAAAGACTCATTGACTTCACAAACGAACACAACATCATCCCCTCATTTCAATTCGGCTTTAGAGAAGGGTGCTCTACTAATACGGCATTGACAGAAATTGTCACTCACATTTCTCAAAGTCTGAACGACGGTAAATTATCACTAGGTATTTTTCTCGATGTTCAAAAAGCCTTTGATCAAGTCTGGCATGTGGGACTGATCAAGAAACTACTGAACATCGGACTACCACTTCCTTTCGTCAGACTAATCCAATCATACGTCTCTGAACGTCTGGTCAGGGTAAAAGAGCGTGGTTCTTTCTCAGATTCTTTTACTCCAACAGCTGGAGTACCACAAGGCTCTGTACTGGCTCCCATACTCTACATAATTTACAACAGTGACTTCCCAAGTACCTTACGAAACAATACCACCACTCTACTCTACGCGGATGACACTGCTCTGGTGACTACAGCGATGAACGTTGATGCTGTTCTCAGGTACGCTCAAAATCACCTCAGACTAGTTGAAAACTGGTGCAGGAGATGGAGAGTGTCCCTGAATCCGAACAAAACTCAAATGATTCTCTTTAGACACCCTAGACACAGTGTACGTGCGGCCTCTTTTAACGAAAGAAACTATCTCACTCTCTGGGGGGACCAACTCCAACTCCGTGATCAGATCGAATACCTCGGTGTGAAGTTCTCACGAACTTTGAACTGGAGGGCCGATCTGAACATAACCTGTGCTAAGGCCAGGAGCAGACTGGGTCTCCTCAATAGTTTGAGATGTAATTTCGGGGCTACACACCCTAAAACATTAATTTTCACTTACAAAACTTTTATCAGAC